CAATGTCAGCTGAAGCCAGCTTGCCTGTGGCCCCAAAGTGGATTCTGATGAATTTGCCCTGTTAAGCAGAAGCAGCAGCAGGTCAGCCTGGGTGTGTTCTGGTGACATCTCCTTTGCATGAAGAACTGCTSAGGCATCATTTGTCTTGTCATGATGGTGAGGGATTTTATGCAAAGCAGCAACTTACAAAACGTGAGGAGTTGTCRTTCCTCACGGTCTTGGCGTTTCCAAARGCCTCCAGCAGTGGGTTGGCGCTGATGATTTGATCCTCAAGCGTTCCCTKCAGGGAGATAATTCTTTAATGRCTGTGTTTGGTTGACAGGGCAATGATWGGTCAGGTGTTCAGTCTGTTCTTCCTGACTCACCTGCATTTTGCCTGATGTYTGCTCCTCCTTCTTTTTCTCCCCACTRGCTGCAATTGTTGCAAAGTACTGGATGACACGCTTTGTGTTSACAGTCTTCCCGGCACCGGATTCTCCGCTGTCAAAGCCCAGAGAGAAGCAGAGAGCGTGTGGTCAGGCAGGAGGTCCCCTGGCACCAGGCAGCCCCACAGGGACCCGAGCAAGGGGGTGTACGTACGTGATCAGGATGGACTGGTTCTCCCGATCTGTGAAAAGGGCAGAAAATAAGTGATTATTAATGCACTAGCAACAGGCAGCTAATTCCTTTCATTAACTCGTACATCTTCACCAATTTTGAATATTTTAATATTCCCAGTTGCAGCTGCAGAGCTGACATGACAACCTTGWGGTGGCTGTCAGGTATAGCACATGTGCACTTCTTTTTCTGGGTATTCCCTTCATGTCTACCTGTTAGACTTTATTTCTACTGATATGATGAACTTAGTCAGATCAGAAATACTGTCATAATTTCCACAGTATTTTAACAAATGATGAGCAGTTGAAGGCCCGTAACTGATTCCTGTGAATTTTATTGATTAAAATTTTGCACTATGAAAACTGACCATATTTTTTCCATGTGTCCCTTTTTCGTAACCAGTCCTTTTTGAATCTTCTCACTTCTATACTATTAGTGAGTGCAGGTATTTAAAAAATGCTAAGAATAGCTGCTTTACAACTGTACTGATTTTTTGTCATTGAATTCAGATTTGATCAACTCTCCTTTGTTAAAAAAAAAAAAATCACTAGTTCTGTAAGGCAAGATTTGTCTTTTACAAGAATGTACCTTTTTTCTGTTTCTTCATAAGTCACATATATTAACATGCACAGTAATTGTTTTTTTACAAACTGCTGGAAGTTTGACTTTTACAACAATGAATCTTACTGAGCATACTGCTGGCTCATGGACAGGTTGTTTTCCACTAGGATGCCCAGACCCCTCACAGAGCTACTTTCCACCACTATACTGGTGCATGGGGTTATTCCTTCACTCACTGGCGCTGAATTTCAGACACGTCTACTTTGCCCATTTCTACATGTCAAGGTCCCTGTAATGGGCTACACTGCACTCTGGGAGCTCAGCCACTCCTCCCARCTTTGTGTCACCAGCAAACTTGTTGAGAAGGCATTTACCCCATCATCCAAGTCATTCATAAGCTGAACAATCCTGGGACCAGTATTGACCCTTGGGCTACTGTTGTCCTCTGCAAGTGACAGACCTCCAATTAGACTCTGAGCCACTATCAAAGCCCTGAGACCAGCCGTTCAGATAGTATCCAATCCATCTCACCATCTGCTTGATCAGCCCTCACTCCCTGAGTTTGCCTATGAGGATATCATGAGAAAGAGTRTCAAAACCCTTGCTGAGGTCAGGTAGACAATGTCCATGCATATCCCCATGCAGTTGTCCCATCGTAAAAAACAATCAGGTTGGTTAAGCATGATGTCCCTTTGGTGAATCTCTGCTGAGTACTGCTGATCAACTTCTTGGATTCTTAGAGACGGCCTCCAGTRTGAGCCATTTCAACACCTCTCCTGGTGATTAATCTCCTGGGATTAAGGTGAGCCTGACAGGCCTGTATTTCCTTGGATCTTCCTTCTTGTTCTTTTTGAAGRCTTGTGGAATTTGCTTTCTTCCAGTTCTCACACGTCTCTTGACTGCCATCACCATTCCAACATGAATGAGTGAGGCCAAGATATGATGTCCTCCAGTTCCCTCAGCACTTGCAGGTGTATTCCATTGGATGAATTTGTGGATATCAGGTTTGACTAAATAATCTCAAACCTGATGCTCTTCAGTCAAGGGAAAGTCTTCATCATTTCCAATGACAAGAGAGCATGCACCCTCACAGCACCATTAAATTGAGCTATTGTGCAGTGACAAGACTTTGTCTCCTCTGCAAATGTTCACAGCCAAATAATTTTAAAGAAAACAAGGTAACTTACCAGTCAACATGAACTGATAGGCGTTGTCAGAGATGGAGAAGATGTGTGGAGGGGCCTCCTGGCGCTTCTTGCCTCGGTAGGCCAACACCACCTCCGGGTTGTACACCGGCAGCCACTTGTAGGGGTTGACAGTGACRCAGAAGAGACCCGAGTAGGTCTGCGAGGAAGGGAGACAGCACGTTGGCTTCCCCTGAGCCTGGCACAGCAGTTCCTGCAGCTGCCCAGAGGAAGCTGCTGCTGCCACTTACGTAGATCATCCAGGCTGCGTAACGCTCTTTGAGGTTGTACAGCACAGCGGGTTCATGGAGGTGGGTCATCATGGCCATGTCCTCGATTTTATCGTACTTGGGAGGGTTCATGGAGAAGACTTGATCTTCCTTCACGGTCATGGTCTGCCACAGAATARAGAGATGCATGTATGTCAGCTAAGAACCCAAAGTGGGAATTAAATTTTTTTTATAAATCTTGCATTTAACCCACCTCTCCCCCTTCAGTCTTGACAGTGACTTTGCCAGATTCCCTGCTCTCAATTTTGCCTTTCACAAASGATTCTTTAGGATGAACCACAAAGACGGATGACTTGGCATCAAAAGGYTTGTTCTGGGCCTCAATTCTCTCCTTTTCTGATTTTCGGAGGTAAGGAGCTGCCTCTCCAAAAATAGCCAACTCAGCGTCTCCAGAGGCCATGTCTGCCCTTTATTGAAGGCACATCAGCAGAGAAAGCTGTGGGAGAAAAGAAATGTAACATCAACAGATCATCCATGCACCTTGCTTGGTAAGGACTGCTTTTCTAATGCTTTGAAATTTAGCATGTACCAGAATTACTCAAACCAGTAAAATTTGCCTTCCTTGTGTTTCATGATTTAAACTTAGAAGAGAAAAATATTGTTCCATGCCTGAATAATATAGAATAGACTTGTAAAATTTCCTCTTATTTGTGTCTTATGGTACTATATAGATTTTACTTTGTCTTCATAGATGGTAGTGTCATATTTGAGAMTAATTCTTGTAAAGAAATGACGTTATTCTACTATAATTTTTTTWAAAAAAGTATAGATAGAATATAGACTATAGCCTTAAAAACAGATGGAATAACTTAGTTGGAAACCAGTTTGAAAGAGAAAAATATGTATGCATAATATGCAATAATGTGAGTACCTAATAGCTAGATCCAGTGCACTTACCTTGAAACTTTTCTAAGAGACAGGGCAGAGCACTGCAAAGACAGTTTTATAGTGTCTGGTTGGCAGATGCTCCAGATTCTTCCTCTTTCTTCGGTCAAATCCTTTTTTGGCAAACATTTTTTGGCAAAACATTGTCTGGCAAACTGAACTAAGGGCATAATTGTCATTTGATTTAATAAGATATATTTAGAAATGTTTTGTATCTTACCAATGCTGTGAATGTATTGACTATAAATAATTTGTCTAGAGACATAAGCTCAGTTAGTCAAGGCACTTGAAAAATTTGGATGTAAGACCAATGGACTAGACTGCTGCATTTCCAATAATTTCCTCATATACCCAAGGCAGATTTTTATTGCATGACTCTGGTGTTACTCTGATACATCCTCACTCCATCCATCCCATCACAAATATCACTGTCACTTGAGCTCCTTTAAACATGCTCTTCTCTTGCTCATTGGCATAGTGATTGTTGAAAGAACTCAGTGGGTAAAGCTCAAGTGAAGAGCACAGGGGCAAGGTCAGCAAATGTGATCCAAGAAGATATCCAACGTCAAGCACTGGCATGGGCATGAAAAGCTTGTTCCAAGGATGAACATGCAACTTTCAAAACCAGAGCTCATCCCTGGGCTCCTTGCAGAGAGCAGRGGGAAGCTACTGGAAACACCCTTTGCCCTGAACAGTAGAAGCTCAGAAACAACCTGTGTAAAACAATGAGCACAGGGGCACATCAGTGTCTCCGGGCAGTCTCTGACTTCCATGGACATACAGAAGTTAGAAGACAGAATCACAGAATGGTTTGGGTTGCAAGGAACCTGCAAAGAATCATGTAGTGCAACACCACTGCTGTGGGCGGGAATATATTTGACTCGATTCGGTTGCTCAAAGACCCATTCAACCTGAGTTTGCACCCTTCCAACGATGGTGCATTCTGATATTCTGGGGCCAGTCTGTTCCTGTATCTCACTGGCCTCTTCTTAAAAATGTCACTCTTCAACCAGAATCTATCTTCCYTCCAGTATGTTGATTGCAACACATAGCTTGGTGTCATCAGCAAACTTGCTGATGGTGCACTCAATCCCACTGTCCATGTTCTTGACAAATTTGTTAAATAATGCTGGTTTCAAAACAATCCCTCAGGGGACACCACTTGTTACTGATCTCCACCTGAAATTGAAGCCACGGGCTACAACTCTTTGAGTGTGATTATCCAGCTGATGTACAATAGTGTATTTTCTGTGATCTTTCCATGCAGAGAGGTGCGATTGACCAGCCTGTAGTTCCCCGGGTCTTCCTTTTGCCCCATTTTTAAAATGGAGGTTATGTATCCCCTTTTTCAGTCAGTAGGAACTTCATCAGAACCGCCACGACTTGTCAAGTGTGATGGATAGTGGCTTAGCCACTTCATCTGCCAGTTCCCTCGGGACCTGGGGTTGCACCTCATAAGGGCAGGTCCCTCCCCTCTCTTCCTTGACTATCCTTTCTGAATAGTTTATAGTTGTCAGTCAAAGCACATGTCAATCGTGCAATCCATCCCAACAGTTTTCTGTGGTAGCAATAAGGCAGTGGGCAGTGGCTACCAGCTCCTTCTGTCTGTTTCACACACTGCTACATTGGTAGAGACATCTCAAGGTATCTAGAGAAAGATATCTTCATCTGGGCTACCTGACCCATCCCCTTGTTAGAAGACTTTGCCCTAATTCCCTTAAGACAATCCAYGGATTTGGTCACAAATTCATTCCCAGCTTTGACTCAAGGATAACATTGGGTCAGAGCAGGTCTGCTGAATACAGATGTGTCAGGTAGGCTGCCTTATAAGCAATTGAAATACAAGAGAGACAAAGAAAAAATTGATCATTAGACATGGATTGGAATTTGATAGGTGTGTGTGTGTGTGTGTGTGTGTGTGTGTGTGTGAGAGAGAGAGAGAGAGAGAGAGAGAAATGCCATAAATGACCGAAATTCTTGATTGAAAATCTTTAATCTAGTGTCACAATGAACACTGAATACAGAAAAGCTGTGAAAGTCCATATTGGTGCTTTTCTGTACATAGTTATCAGTAAGAAAACTTTCCTTATTTTTTTAACTAAATTTATAAATGAAATTAGTTATTTTAATAATTTTCAGTTTAAAAATTAAGTAAGATTATAACTCGGCTTCTTCATCATGACTAATAAAGCTCTTTTATTTCAAAGGCCATGGTCTGTACTGCCATTAGGAGAAGTATATATGACAGAGCCAACTCCAAAGCCTATATATCAAACTAGGGAYACCTTGTGTTCTAAAAACCTTGTCAAAACCCTCTGCATATCAAATGGTGAAATGCGTGAAACTRTTCCATCAAAAAGCAGACTGAAGGAGTACCATTTAGTAACAGAGGCCAAGGGTCAGAGAATCAGCTTCATCTATGCTAAAGGAAATATTGTTTCATTTTCATATCATTAAGTAATAGCTTTTGTACTGTCTGAAAAAAAGTATTTCACAAAACTCTTTTTTTTTTTTTTTTTTATTAAAAGGTTAGTTACTAAGGATATTTTGTGCCATCTGGCAAAAACCTGCAAACCATTGTAATTAAATCCAAGGTGATTTTACTGAAAATAGAAAAGCAGAAATCAATAGTCGTTCACATTCCTTCACAGACAATATATCAATTCTTGAAATACAGCACTTGTGTAGAGCACTTGAGGTGATTTCCAGAGACTTGAGATAATACTGATGCTCATAAAGATATTATAATGATAAAGATGAAGGTATATTATATTTAAAAGGTATTAAATTATGTTTCCCTGAAAGATGAGGTATAAAAGGCATATAATAATAAAACAAGAGTTGCAAATTATTGTGTTTTTTACATGTACCATATGAGAACAAAATGTGCCTTCTGATTTTAACAACTAACAATCACAGTATCCCCATGTCTGTAAAAAAAGGAAGTGTTTTGCTTTGAGCAAGAAGATGAAAGTTATGATTTGCAGAGTTCATACAGAGGAAGTATGTAACAGCTCTTACTTGAGTTGCTTTAAACTGTGTCAGTTCCAAATATGCTCTTCCTTGGCATTTTGGTTATTAAAAGTGATCAGTGAATAACGTGTGCTTGAATGCCTGGATCTGACATTATATACAGCATCAGGCAACATCATAGGCTTGGTAAGGCCCATTCCAGGGAGGGCTGCAGCAGTGCAGTGTCCAGTTTCATGGTTCCCAGGACAGGCCTCACCACTGGACTCCTCACGCAGGGCATAGGGAGACTGATGGAAGCCCCTTGCACACTGGCCAGGAGGAGCCCAGAGCCTGCCTGTGGGGTTTGGTGCACACAGAGGTGCACCTAAGTCCTGCCTCTCTGGGGAACCAAGGGGTGCTGCTGGGGGCACCACCTTCCAGTGAGATCCAGAGTACCAGCTCCCCAGCATGAGGCCACCAAACATTGCTCTGAGGGTCTCCTGCCACTGAGTCCCTGAGGTGCAGTGTGGTGTCCAGCAGCTCAGAGCCTACCAGTCCTGGCTGAGGAGGAGACAGAGAGGTCTTGGTGGATCAGAACCTGGAGTTTAAAAGACCATGAAATAAGAGTGAGGGATGTCTGATGCTTCTAGGGTGACAACTTGGGGTTTTCTCCCTTCACACGTGGAGCTGCAAATCTTTGCTTTCCCAGTGGCAGACTACAAAGCCAGTCTACTCAGCAGAGCTCTTTTGTTTTTTTACTGTTGTACTGTGCAGGATGTGGACCCAGCCTAGCAATAGGCAAGAGTGAGGCACATGGCCAGGCAGCTATTTGGTTGCTAGTCCTTGGGGTAGGATGTACTGAAAACAGTAGCAATGCCTCAATGCTAAAAGAAAAATAGGTCCTGTCCACCACTGTCTCCCAGTTCAGCTACTGTCACTGCAGGGCTGGACTGTGCTGCAGCTGGGAGCAAAGCATGGAACACTCAAAAAGAGGAGAGGTAGAGTGAGCACCGATCCTGGATACAGAATGTCCTGCTCAGCAATGTGGGGAGGCAAAGTATGGCAGTGCTGACATTTCCCATGAAAAAGMGATTCAAGTATGCTGAAAATAGAACCATCTTAAGAAAGTATCAAGCAGCTGCCTCACTGTCTGTCAGACCTTAAGATATGACTTCTTCTGTCTCAGACTCTGTGTTAGCAGGCACAGAGAGAGAGAGAGAATACTTAGAAACAAGTGAAATTACATATTTAGACACAAATTTCCAGCCTATGGCCAGGCAAAATCTCACAATTTTAAAATTTGCATTGAACTGGAGACTTGCATTTATAACATTCCAGYGTGGAAGACTTTTCACAGCTTGGAAGAATGATATTTTCTTCATTGCTTTTATCCATAAGTTTCAATATTCTTATCAGTGAGTTTCTTCAGTGGAAGAAGCCCCATGATTCTTGTTCTGTTGTCAGAAGCTGCCAAAAACAAAGCTAGAAAAAGAGTGATCAGATCTTCATATACTCATCCATTCTGTTTCACAACTTGAATATGTTGGTTGAAGATGAGCACTG